TTTTATATTTAATCTTCCTTCCAGGTCCATAATTTCGTGCAGTGTATATTCTTGGAGTTATTATGGTTTTATATTAATAGCAGATTTAGGTATATAATTATTGTATATTATTTTATGCATAAATAATTTCAGAGTAAACATTAACCAGTTAACAACATGGTTCCGATCAAATAAAACGCGCCCTCCTCTGTCCTCAAACTAGAACTCCCATCTCTTGCAACTGAGTTATGGATTTGTATAACGTTCTTATCAGATGACCTCTCATAAGAGCTAACTTTTTGAGAACAAAAGTTAGCTCTTTTGTTCTCAAAAGGATTTTTTTTGAATCTCTAATGGTATTATATATAATACTATGCATCACTTCATTGCGCGGAATAAATCTAGATTCACAATTGTACCTCGTCTATTCTTGCTAAAACTTCCTCGTCCACCAGTAAATTAAGGGCTTTGAGGAACTCAAAATCCCAGCTGCTCAGCCCTCTTTCGTCCGAAGAGGACCCGCTTCTCCCTTTCTGTGGAATAAGAAAATCAATTGAGTGCAGCTTAGTGATTTTTTAATAAATTAAGCTTATAATGGAAAAAGGTCTCGACAAAAGCTCTGCTGGTTGGCACACAGGAGGGGGATGCCTTATAATGGGCGTTGTAAACGCTAGATCGCCAAAGTTTGAGTTAACGCAAACCTTTCTTCTTTTTTGGAGGTCTTTGGAAATTTAAAGACTAGTGTTACCACTACTTCCGTTTCTTTTATAATGTCATTATTTTGGGACAAGTCCTCCATCAATCCTAATAGGAAGTTGTTTAAGATTCACATTCTGTGATTGTAAATTGTCTTTCGGACGATAAAACATAAAATTGAAGACGCTGGCATTCATCATTATATAACATATTTAAACTTTAAAGAGGATGATAATATCTCTCAAACACAGTGAAGCTGCTGAAGCACAGGTCAGGGATTGGTTGTGCAAGCGGTTATTGCCCTTGAACATTAATTCACGCTTTAAATTCAACCTTCTAATTGTACAATACAGTGTGCCAACATACCTATCCATTGTGGAATAGTCGTTAATTGTCATGCTATCGCTTTTTGGACCTTCCTTGTGTGCGCTTTAGCCCTGAAATAGACAACAATTAAGTAGTTAAAATTTATAATTAGCCCCCTAGATTTCGTCTTGACAAAAAATGAATTTTTTAAATGTAATGTAATTAGTAATATTTTATTTGAGAAACGATCCATCAATTACGATCTAGTTAGCTCTTTTGTTCTCAAAAGGATTTTTTTGAATCTCTAACGGTATTATATACTATGCATCACTTCATTGCGCGGAATAAATCTAGATTCACAATTGTACCTAGTCTATTCTTGCTAAAACTTCCTCATCCACCAGTAAATCAAGGGCTTTGAGGAACTCAAAATCCCAGCTGCTCAGCCCTCTTTCGTCCGAAGAGGACCCGCTTCTCCCTTTCTGTGGAATAAGAAATTATTTTTATTAAAAAGATTTTTTAATAAATTAAGCTTATAATGGAAAAAGGTCTCGACAAAAGCTCTGCTGGATGGCACACAGGAGGAGGATGCCTTATAATGGGCGTTGTAAACGCTAGATCGCCAAAGTTTGAGTTAACGCAAACCTTTCTTTTTTTCTGGAGGTCTTTAAGCACTTTAAATACTAGTGTTACCACTATTGATGTTTCTTTTATGATGTCCTCACTTTGGGACAAGTCCTCCATCAATCCTGATAGGAAGTTGTTAAGATTCACATTCTGTGATTGTAAATTGTCTTTCGGACGATAAAACATAAAATTGCAGACGCTGGCATTCATCATTATAGGGGGGGGGGGTGTCATGTCCGTCTATGTCCTGTCCTTTTTGGATTCTATGAGACAACGGATGTGTTTTTTGGGACATTGGCGGACACGGACGGACATTGGCGGACTCGGACGGACATTGGCGGACTCGGACGGACATTGGCGGACTCGGAAGGACATTGGCGGACTCGGACGGACATTGGCGGACCCGGACGGACATTGGCGGACTTGGATGGACATTGGTGGACATTAGCGGACATTGGTGGACATTAGCGGACTGAAGAGTACTGAAGAGTACTGAAGAGTACTGAGGAGGATGGCTGAGAAGGATGGCTGAGAAGGATGGCTGAGGAGGATGGCTGAGGAGGATGACTGAGGAGGATGACTGAGGAGGATGACTGAGAGGGAGGAGAAGGATCAGGAAGACCCAGGAGGAGGAGAAGGATCAGGAAGACCCAGGAGGAGGAGGAGGAGGAGGACCCAGAAGGAGGACCTAGGAGGAGGAGGAGGAGAACTGAGGAGGATGACTCAGGAGGAGGAGGACTCAGGAGGAGGACTCAGGAGGACTGAGAAGGAGGAGGACTGAGGAGGATGGCTGAGGAGGATGGCTGAGGAGGATGGCTGAGGAGGATGACTGAGAGGGAGGAGAAGGATCAGGAAGACCCAGGAGGAGGAGGAGGAGGAGGACCCAGAAGGAGGACCTAGGAGGAGGAGGAGGAGAACTGAGGAGGATGACTCAGGAGGAGGAGGACTCAGGAGGAGGACTCAGGAGGACTGAGAAGGAGGAGGACTGAGGAGGATGGCTGAGGAGGATGGCTGAGGAGGATGGCTGAGGAGGATGACTGAGAGGGAGGAGGAGGAGGAAGAGGAGGAAGAGGACTGAGGAGGAGGAGGAGAAGGACTGAGGAGGAGAAGGAGGACCCAGGAGGAGGAGGACCCAGGAGGAGGAGGACCCAGGAAAAGGCCCCAGGAGGAGGAGGAGGACTGGGGAGGAGGAGAACTGTTGAGGACTGATGAGGAGGACTGAGGACGAGGAGGAGTAGGAGGAGGAATGAGGAGGGGAGGAGGAAGAGGACTGGGGAGGATCAGGAAGACCCAGGAGGACCCAGGAGGAGGAGGAGGAGGAGGAGGAGGACCCAGGAGGAAGAGGAGGACTGAGGAGGACTGGGGAGGACTGAGGAGGAGGACTGACGATGACTGAGAAGGAGGAGGACTGAGGAGTACTGAGGAGGATGGCTGAGGAGGATGGCTGGGGAGGATGGCTGAGGAGGATGACTGAGGAGGATGACTGAGAGGGAGGAGGAGGAGGACTCAGAAGGAAGAGGAGGAGGACCCAGGAGGACTTAGGAGAAATGAGAAGGAGGACTGAGGAGAACTGAGGAGGAGGAGGAGGAGGACTGAATAGGAGGAGGAGAAGGAGGGGGACTGGGAGAGGACTGGGGAGGAGGAGGACTGATGAGAAGGATGAGGAGGAGGACCCAGGAGGAGGAGGACTGAGGAGAAGGATGAGGAGGAGGACTGAGGAGGACTGAGGAGGAAGAGGAGGAGGATGAAGAGGAGGAGGAGGACCCAGGAGGAGGACCCAGGAGGAGGACTCAGGAGGAGGAGGAGGACTGGGGAGGAGGAGGACTGTTGAGGACTGATGAGGAGGACTGAAGACGAGGAGGAGGAGTAGGAGGAGGACTGAGGAGGGGAGGAGGAAGAGGACTGAGGAAGATCAGGAAGACCCAGGGGGAGGAGGAGGAAGAGTAGGAGGAGGAATCTAAATGTTATTTCCATATTTGTCCGTTTTTGTCCATTTTTGTCCGCTCTATTTTGTTGTCCGTTTTGAAAATATAGGGTACCGAACGGACAAAAAACATGATCCCCCTATAACAGCAAAAATTGAACATTTTATTTAGCAATTTAGGTGTCCATTAATGTCCGCCTATGTCCGCCTATGTCCGTCTATGTCCGCCTATGTCCGCCTATGTCCGCCTATGTCCGTCTATGTCCGCCTATGTCCGCCTATGTCCGCCTATGTCCGCCCCCCCCCCCCCCCCCCATTATATAACATATAACATATTTAAACTTTAAAGAGGATGATAATATCTCTCAAACACAGTGGAGCACAGGTCAGGGATTGGTTGTGCAAGCGGTTATTGCCCTTGAACATTAATTCACGCTTTAAATTGAACCTTCTAATTGTACAATTCAGTGTGCCAACATACCTATCCAGTATCCATTATGGAATAGTCGTCAATTTTCCTGCTATCGCTTTTTGGACCTTCCTTGTGTGCGCTTTAGCCCTGAAATAGACAACAATTAAGTGGTTAAAATTTATAATTAGCCCCCTAGATTTCGCCTTGACAAACAATGAATTTTTTGAATGTAATGTAATTATTAATATTATATTTTAGCAATGATACAGTCAACTTGATAGTAACTGATCTCATATTAGGACAATTCGCTTACTCTGTCTCCATGTACACGCGGTTTATTAAACCGCATATTTTTGCCATGTTCGTCTTTTCGTCGAGATAAATCCGGAACAAGTTGTCCTCGTCCACGGTTAAATTTGCGGTTGTCATATCTGGAAATATAGGCAAATTTCTGTCTCAACGTATTCTTAAGAGAATTGCTGTATCAAATTTTAATTTTCGACTCTGGTTTGACCTTTAGACAACGAAGCGATGCTCAAGTAAAGATCTATTCAGCTGTAAATGCTCAACTAATATATAAACAATGGTAGAGTAATATATCAGATAATGGGACAAAACTCGGTAATCGCATTAACTGTAATTACAATATCAGACAGTTTATTGGTAATTCTGCCGGAAATTCGTTCAACATAAAATGGATAACTTTTTGTTTGTAACAATTTAATGTTCACATAGTTTTCTTTTTGTGTGCGTACATTGCAAACTTGTATTAATGACTATGTGCAGCTTGTTATGTACACCATGTTTTTACTTTGAAAGTTGAAAACAAACTTTGATGATGAAAATCGACAGAAGATTCTGAGTTCAATTGACAAAAAGACAGACAAACAAATACACAAATACAATAATACGTACACTGCCTACCTTGGACTGGTGCATGTGAGACGGGAAAGGATCATCAGGGTGGCAGGGTTGTCCGGAAATTGTGTCTGCACTCAATATCATAAAATTAAAAGTAAATTTAAAATTCATAATGAATCATCATTGATCATTCAGCTAGTGCCAGGTGGTGTTGGTGGGGGGCTGGAAGGAGGCTGGCGGGGGGCCGGTGGTGGGCTGGTAGGAGGCTGGTGGGGGCCGGTGGTGGGCTGGTAGGAGGCTGGTGGAGGGCCGGTGGTGGGCTGGTATGAGGCTGGTGGGGAGCCGGTGGTGGGCTGGTAGGAGTCTGGTGGGGGCCGGTGGTGGGCTGGTAGGAGGCTGGTGGAGGGCCGGTGGTGGGCTGGTAGGAGGCTGGTGGGGGGCCGGTGGTGGGCTGGTAGGAGGCTGGTGGGGGGCCGGTGGTGGGCTGGTAGGAGGCTGGTGGAGGGCCGGTGGTGGGCTGGTAGGAGGCTGGTGGGGGGCCGGTGGTGGGCTGGTAGGAGGCTGGTGGGGGGCCGATGGTGGGCTGGTAGGAGGCTGGTGGGGGGCCGGTGGTGGGCTGGTAGGAGGCAGGTGGGGGGCCGGTGGTGGGCTGGTAGGAGGCTGGTGGGGGGCCGGTGGTGGGCTGGTAGGAGGCTGGTGGGGGGCCGGTGGTGGGCTGGTAGGAGGCTGGTGGGGAGCCGGTGGTGGGCTGGTAGGAGACTGGTGGGGGGCCGGTGGTGGGCTGGTAGGAGGCTGGTGGAGAGCCGGTGGTGGGCTGGTAGGAGGCTGGTGGGGGGCCGGTGGTGGGCTGGTAGGAGGCTGGTGGGGGGCCGGTGGTGGGCTGGTAGGAGGCCGGTGGGGAGCTGGTGGGGGGTTGGTTGGCAGGGTGGGTGGGGGTTGACGGTTGGCGGGTTGGCGGGAGGGATAGGGTTCAACACAGTCCCTGATGAGGTGTCCCGGTCTCTGACAGCTGAAATTAATTATTCCATTAGCCTAAATAATAAAATTTGTATCTTTGAGTTGTTTTTTGTATACATTCTGGCTTGGCATAGGTCACCAGTCACCTCAACTTGCAATGGTAGAATATAAACATTAAATCGAGAAAATGACAGAAGAGTCTTCTCCAGTCTTCTGAGTCCAGTCTTCTCCAGTCTTCTGAGAAGACTGGAGTTAGTATTTAGTAATTACATGTTAGTTGTTACAACAAAAGTTTAACGTACCGAAAACAGAGTCTTGGCCGGTTTCTCCTTCCAGTCCCGCCAGTCCGGCTTCTCGGTCTGGGAGGGTCGGTGAAAATTAAGGGCTTTGAGGAACTCAAAATCCCAGCTGCTCAGCCCTCTTTCGTCCGAAGAGGACCCGCTTCTCCCTTTCTGTGGAATAAGAAAATCAATTAAGTGCAGCGTAGAGATTTTTTAATAAATTAAGCTTTTAATGGAAAAAGGTCTCGACAAAAGCTCTGCTGGTTGGCACACAGGAGGGGGATGCCTTATAATGGGCGTTGTAAACGCTAGATCGCCAAAGTTTGAGTTACCGCAAACCTTTCTTTTTTTATGGAGGTCTTTAAGCACTTTAAATACTAGTGTTACCACTATTGATGTTTCTTTTATGATGTCCTCACTTTGGGACAAGTCCTCCATCAATCTTGATAGGAAGTTGTTTAAGATTCACATTCTGTGATTGTAAATTGTCTTTCGGACGATAAAACATAAAATTGCAGACGCTGGCATTCATCATTATATAACATATAACATATTTAAACTTTAAAGAGGATGATAATATCTCTCAAACACAGTGGAGCACAGGTCAGGGATTGGTTGTGCAAGCGGTTATTGCCCTCGAACATTAATTCACGCTTTAAATTGAACCTTCTAATTGTACAATTCAGTGTGCCAACATACCTATCCAGTATCCATTATGGAATAGTCGTTAATTTTCCTGCTATCGCTTTTTGGACCTTCCTTGTGTGCGCTTTAGCCCTGAAATAGACAACAGTTAAGTAGTTAAAATTTATAATTAGCCCCGTAGATTTCGACTTGACAAAAAATGAATTTTTAAAATGTAATGTAATTATTAATATTATATTTTAGCAATGATACAGTCAACTTGATAGTAACTGATCTCATATTAGGACAATTACAAAGCGCTTACAGGTCAAGATATGGTGTCTGATAGTAAGAAGGGGGAGGGGGAGTAGCTGACACCTGGGTAGGAGGTGTCGTCGGGACCAGGGCCGGAGGTGTTGCCGGGGTGGTCAACAATGCTGGAGCTTGACGGCTAGCAAAGAGCGGGACTGTCAAGACAGTCAAATCGGCTTCCTGGTTATCCCAGTATTTATACTGATCCCTCCTGAAACAATATTTTAGAAATCTCATAATTTGCTGCAAAAAATATTTGTGTTCGACCAGCCTTACGTTTATGATGATGTACGTTAATTGTTAACAATTTATAATACTGACCCATTGCCGGGTTGACTGACTGCAACCGGGTTGGCGACCAGGCTGGCGAGTGGAGATGGGGCTGGCGATAGGGCTGGCGACGGAGCGGGCGACCAGGCTGCCAAATGAGCTGGCGACCGGGCTTGTGTCTGGGCTGGCAAATGAGCTGGCGACCGGGCTTGTGTCTGGGCTGGCAACGGAGCGGGCGACCAGGCTTGTGTCTGGGCTGTCGTCTGGGCTGGCGACGGGGGTTGCGATGGGGGTGGCGACTGAGCTGGTAACTGGGCTGGTGACTGTTGTTGCGGTTCTGATCGTTGGTTTTTCCTCCTGTAGCAATATTTTAGAAATCTTTCGTAATATAATTTAAAGCAAGGTAATGTTTTATGCCTGCTAAACACGTTTATTCTGAAGTCTGAACATTGGCCTTTCTGAAAATAACAACTGCATGATAAAATCAGGCTTGTTATTGAAAAACCTCATGTCTACCTTAATTTCACAACAAAAAAGGCTATTTCATAAAAGTTCTGACGACAATTGCGCAATATACGTCGGCAACCAAGTTTCTCCGACACAATTAACTGGATGTGATCAGAAGATAAACAAGAATTTTTAAGAAAAGAACTCGATGTAAACTCGGTGTCTTACGGAAGTGTCTTTCGTTTCTTCTTTGCCTTCTCATTGTCCTTTACATTTACATTCTTCTTTCTGCGAATATAAAAATTGTACAGTATGTATCTAAAATTATCACGTGACTTTGGTTTTTATTGCTTTGCAACTGAACAATACTGTTTCACACATAAAACCCTTATCCCAACCATAACAGCTAATCTTAACCAGAACCCCGAAGCTATTCATAACCGTAACCACAACCATAGCTCTAACTCAAGCCCTAAACAATCGAATCCGTGTCAGATCACGTGACCAAAATGGTTTTTGCCCTAACCCTAACCCTAACCCTAGCCCTAGCCCCAGCCCCAGCCCCAGCCCCAACCCCAACCCCAACCCCAACCCCAACCCCAACCCCAACCCTAACCCCAACCCCAACCCCAACCCCAACCCCAACCCCAACCCCAACCCCAACCCCAACCCCAACCCCAACCCCAACCCCAACCCTAACCCGTAACTGACAACTGTCCAGAGAAACATGAGGGTGATTCGGAATCAGCGTCCAAAAAACCCCAACCCCAACCCCAACCCCAACCCCAACCCCAACCCCAACCCCAACCCCAACCCCAACCCCAACCCCAACCCCAACCCCAACCCCAACCCCAACCCCAACCCCAACCCCAACCCCAACCCCAACCCCAACCCCAACCCCAACCCCAACCCCAACCCTAACCCGTAACTGACAACTGTCCAGAGAAACATGAGGGTGATTCGGAATCAGCGTCCAAAAATACACCGAATTAGGTTACTTTCAATTTCATATCTTAAAGGGCCTTATCACAATTTTTAATTTGGGTGAGCGATTTAAAGGGAGCAGTTTCAAATATCATAATTGTTGATATGCCACAAAAATATTTGTGTTCGTCCAGCCTTAAGTCTATAATGATGCACGTTAATTGCTAACAATATATTACACTAACCTCTTCCCGGCTGCTAAACCATCTAATCGTTTCTTTTCAGCTTCACCTGCATGAAATATAAATTAAGTGATCGTTAATAAATCGTTCTTATTATATCGTACATACTAGAAGCCCATGCACGTTTTTATATGCGTTACTGTGCAACTTTTTGCTTTTGACCTAATAGATGTTATATATTAATTAATTATTCGATTGGGATGTTGGGATGTTTTTTTTACACGATTAAATTACAAATTTCTTTCAAAGAATACTACTAGCTTCAACCTGGGTCGTTCAGTATATTATAAATTATATATGTTTGATATAATATGATATAATATTATGTATGTATACAACGTTAAACCACTCTCAGAAAGGGTTACTAAATCCAGATGGAAATATTTGGACAAATTCTGGAAATTACTAACTCTCCAGTCTCAACTGCAGTTAGCTCTTGCCTTTGCTGTTAGAAGCATGTAATAAATATGAAGGGTAGAATTGGCAGCCAATTATATTGGGGGGGGGGCCCCTATATTAAAAAAAAGAAATATAAAATCACATAATAATACGAATGACTAAAATAATAAGTTACCTTACTCGGGATTATTATGACCGGGATAAAGTGGCGGGTTTAGGGTAATTTCGCCATATTTTTCCCGAACCACATTTTCACCGGTCGTTAATAAACCCGCCGACTCAGCTTTTAGGCTTCCCAAGGGGTATGGGTGCTCATATTTTAATCGTTGTCGTATATTCACTAAAGAAGACTATTGGGACACTTGTTGTAGGTTTTTCGACTTCATTTGGCTAAAATTGCAAAAAATTCACCTTTTTGCCCAATTCTTGTCATATATCCTTATTGTCAAAGTTGATTTAAATAGGCCAATTTTTAATTTCTTAGGTATTGACTATCTCTACATAATGAAATAGGACTCAAAGTAAAAGTAACAGTTAAATTAAAACTTGAATTAATTAAAACTGTCAATAACATGAATCAGTTTCATCAGTCATTTATTCATAATTCTAAACAATGTGAACGATGCATTCTTTCGAAGATTTTCTACAAATTGAGTTATAATGGTTATTTGATACACGTAAACATTTAATTATTGATAATTCGACTTGTTTCTCAAGTTTTAGGAAGGCGAAAATTTCTAAACTTGCTTATCTCTAATAAGAAAATTTACATCTGAGACAAAATTTTTGAATCTAAAATTGAAAGGTTGGACACCGGTAAAATGGCGACCGGGAAAATGTGGTGGGTTTTGAGCAATTTCGCCATATTTTTCCCGAACCATATTTTTACCGGTCGTTAATAAACCCGTCGTAATAATCCCGAGTAAGGTAAACATGAATGAAAGAGTTGTGTAAAATAACTCATTCACAGACGAAAATAATGAAGTTCATATAAGGGACAATTACTAACTTATTATGTAGAGGATCTCCACATTGTAGGTCTCTTCTTTGTGGTCAGCTCGATGTATACAGCAGTGTATCTGAATCCCACCTTTACCAGCTCACCAGTTAATGGTTATTGCTGATTGTATTAGGTTGTTATTTTCAGCAAGTTATATAACTGATATCAGAGTAACTGTAAAAGTTGTTGTTCCCGATGTTAATTCTCGTATCTGTATTTATAAAGGACAATTATGATTCATAAATATATTCACACTTGTCACTATTTAATGCGCACAGTTTAACATTAAATATTATATTAGTACTGTAACAAATTTACTTATATTCTATAACTTATTACATACTACTATATGTTTTGATTCTTAGAAGGGCATTACATTGTTCTAACAGTTTTTGACTGACTTGAATGTCCTGCGCAGCATTTTGAAGCTTCTTTAAATTATTTTGAATTCTAATTCTAATTCTAATTCTAATTCTAATTCTAATTTTAATTCTAATTCATCATTTCATTCATAAATTGAAACTTGATTATATTGAGACTTTGAGCGGCCATAAAAATAGGGTTTGAAAGGTGTCTTCTATAACACACCACCAGTCAACATACTGACGCACACTTTTTAGCATATTATATAATACATTTTGGCCTATTTTATATGTTTGTTCGATTTGTTGTATATATAGATATATTTTGGTTACTTGACAGGATTAAAATATGCATAGATAATTGCGTGACTTATATCAACAAAATTGTAATATCAATCTATAATCTATGTACTCACTATTTTATCAAGCGGGATCGTTTCATATGTTTGATCATCAAACTGGATTCTGGCATATTGCCTCACACATGCAGGTGGAACATCCGCCAGTTTAAGAGGCGTTTTTACTCTTTGTGGTCTTGACATTATGATCTGTGTAGGTATATAATATTATATATTAGTTTTAAGTATGTTAACACAAATAAAAATAATTTTTACAAAGCAATATGCAATAAATACAATACTATTTGCATAGTGTGGAGCTACTATCGAGTCTGAGCACCCACTCATATTTGGTCCAATGAAATACCTTATTCATGGTTAGTCTAATGGTAGTTTAGCGGCGGTGGAGGTTTCAGGCTGTTCCGGCTTCCGAGTTTCGACCATTCCCGAGGATCCCGATCCGGTGTTATCTTGGACCGGCATCGACTCGGGTTTGGGCTCGACTGCGGGAGCTTTCGCA